GGGTTCCTTGTCACTGAAAGTTCCTGAAACAGCACTGGAAAACAGGGAATTTGGAATCATTCTCTGGCTGTCAAGTGAGAATGAATGCAGAGTGATGAAAAGTGAGGGTCCAGGTGTAATTTACATCAAGCTGTAATAATTATATATAGTGAAATATAGTCTACATACAGTGTATATCTCAGCTGAATATTAAGTTGACTCAAGGTCAAGTTGCCTTAACAAATCAAGAACTGAGCTGGATGATGATTCAGCTCTAGTTCCCTGTTAGCAGTCAGACTGTGATAAGATGGAATTTTAAGTCTACATGGTAGCAGAATTCCTGAGGAAAAAGTGTCCCCACAACATTGTTATTTTTGCTAAAAACAGTAAGACAATTTAGAACTTTGCCAGTAACGTTAGTTTGACTTGTTTCTCTGGGCTTCACTGTTTCTGGAGACAAATGAGACAGGGTTGGCCATGTAATGCCCTCTCCAGTTGTATTGTGATTAGTTCTGTATATGATTACCACAGTAAGGGCAAATCTTCTGAATTTCTCTTCTAGGCTTTAAATTCATTTTGACAGAATTAATGAGCCAGGCTGCTAAATTACCCTTATTCATGTTTACGTTGCAAACAAGACTGGACCTTGAGTAGGGCTCCAAAAATGCCACAGACGAAGTAAATAGGAGCAATACACAGAAACAGTAGAAAGATATTCCCTCTGCTCCCCACAGCATGTCTACCAGGGAAAAGAAAAAAACTAACAGAGTGAAGATAATCACACATTCCAGGAAATTATTATTAGTTTTTGTATAGCATGGCCAAACCTGTTTTTTACCCAAGAAATATTTTGATTTTTTTTTTTTTAATCTAAATGTTATCTAAGCTATCCAAGACTCTGATTAAATCTATTACATCTCACTGCTTTTTCCATAGCAATCAATAGTCCAGGTTCAGAGACATTTTTACTGCCACTTTAATTGTATTTCTAATGTAACCACTATAACAATTATTTATTTATTTTTTCTAGTAGTACATCTGATATTCCCATTCCTAGTTAACCCAAAACCAAAAAGAATCTTATGGCCACTTCCACTTGATACTCGGTTAATTTTATTAAGATGACTCTGCCAACTGATTGCAAATATACAGCTGAGTGGAACAAGTAAAGGAGTTACACTTACCTGAACATCCCATCCTTACTTTTTTGTCCAGTGTGTGAAGGAAAAAAAAAAAGGCTGTTTTAAATGAAGCATGTACCATGCACATTAGAAGTTTATATCATAAACTGTTTTCTTTAGGGAAGGAGACCACACCAGTCTTCTACAGCCACCACGGCAGCCGTACAGATGAGTTTATACACACTTACTAATAGTGGTACCCAGGTTTTGCTTTCATTTCCCACTAGGCTATCAAGATGGTACCTGGCTAGCAGTTGTTGAAAAAGATGGACAATGAAGGATTTTTTTTTTTTTTTGAGTGGTGACTGTATCGTTTCATTTGGTAACTGGGCTGCTTTCTAGGGTACTGCATGGATTTTGACTAATGCATGGTTCTTTCTGTTAGCATGTTTCTCACTGCTCATCACCACGAGCAACGTAAGCTGATTTTTTCAAGCTGTCTTGTTACTCAATGCTGTCTGAGCAGAGCGGACAGCTTAATCTTAGGAGAACCTGATGCAATCTGCTACATCAGTGACTGAGATAGAAGTCTGGAAAAACTGAATCCTTTTAAATATTTTGCGCAGTTTAAATTATTCTACCCATATCAATCCAGAGCATTAATGCTTGTGATATGTTTGGAAAAAGGGGAAAAGAAGTGAAAAAGAGGAGACACTTCTACCTCTGAAGCAGGTCTGTCCAATCGCTGTCAGAATTGCATCCACTGACAGAATGCAGCCATGTCTCTTTAAAGATCGCCAAGCCTGGCAGTGGCTTGGCAGCTGTTCATTATTCATGAAAGACAGCTTGAATGCAAGTAACTTAAGCTCTCACTGAAGCTGCATGACTAAGTGTTTAGTTGATTGAGAAAGTGAACTCATTTCAGAGCTGTTGTTCTGGCCACCTGACACAGTTTGAAGTCAAAAGCATTCTTGAATGTTAGCAAGAAGTCTTTCCCTATGATAGAGTAAAACCATAAGAGCTGTATGAAACCCAGCAAGGAGAAGAAAATGACCTGATCCAGCATGTTGTATTCTTAAGTTAGGAAAAACTTTAAGCTTTTAAAGTTTTAAGTTTTTAAGCTGGAAAACGCAAACCTCAAGAATCAAGCCTACTGAGGCATGTTAATTACTGCACAGCTCAAGAGACTTCTGCCTGTGCAAGTTTACCACGTTGCACAAGGAGCTGACATTTATGAACTGCTTACCAAGCAAATTTCATAACTAATTTATTTGTTCTAATATGCTGGCCACTTTGTGGTTAAGTTTTCGTCTGTTTTAAACTCAGAGGCAGCTGACCCAAACGCTTATCTTTCAGAGAGAGCTTCAGAAGGTATATACTCTCCCAAGTGGCTCACCGTCTCTTCTTTGTAGTTGTGTTGTGCTTTTGTGAGTGACAGATTATTCTTAGGGTCTGGTTAGGCTTCCTGAGATGCAGGCTTATCATACAGCAAAACCTATATTTTGCATACAACAGCTGTTTTGTTTGTTTTATGTTCTAATCATGACATCTTTGAAGTGCATGAATTAGAAGCATACAGAAGTACAAATCTAATCCCAGAAGAAGTTTTGCATGGTACATTAGTGTCAGTTCTAAGTATCAGTTCAGGTGTCTTAGCCATAAAAACACACAATGCAGTAAGTTCCTGAAATACCATTTACAATCTTTCTGTAGACTTCTGACTTCCAGCTAGGAATACTCATGGCCTATGGTTGTTCTTTTCTCTAAACTTTGAGATTAAAACACAGGTTTTAAATACCGGCAAAATAAACAGCTGAAAACTGGCAAATACTTGATTAACACTATTCACATCTATGCATCCAAATTCCTGTCAGTGGCAATTCAGGCCTTGCCGGTTCTCCACAGATCACACATCTATCATGTCCAAAGCATTTTATGAGAGTCCTATGTTAACACCTCCCTGCACACACTTTGGAGTTCAAAAATGTACTGTCCCTATTGTCTGACAGGTTATTAGAAAACTAAGTGCGAAACGTTACTTCCCTCATTAGCTTCTTTTTCAATACGTGCAAGTTTTTCATCTGTTCTCAGGGTGAAATTAAAACTCTGCTAAGGAGAACTGCTCCACACATGAAACCTGACTGATAAAGACTAAGACTGAAACAGAAGAAAAACAACCAAAACAGCTAAGGAGGAAATAATATATAAGGAAATAATTATTTTAAAAGCTCTTCATTTTTCCTCTAACCCTAGCCTCACAGCACATAGATTGGTACAGCAATAAAACGTAGTAAGTTTTCTATAGTCAAGTGTAGTTCAGAATTATGTACAGTAATTTTATGACAGTAAGTATGCTTTTCCAATTCTCAGTTTGAATATTTCCTCCCTGAGCTGTAGGGCACCATAAAGGCCTATTGCATATAGGCCTGCTGTAGGGTCTGCTGTATTTAAGCTTATACCGTACATTCAGCTGTAGGAACATGTGTTGGCAAGTGGAAAAGGTGAGGCAAAAGAGAGTGAAGTGAGGAAAATGCTCTGACAATTCTTTAAAGACATCTAAAGCTTCAGCATACTTTTTTTTTTTTTTTTTTTTTTTTTTAAAATAAATGAGGTCTATTACATAGCACTCACGGGGATATATATCTACTAGTTGAGCAACTGAAGCAGCCCTAAGACACTTGGCTTTTTGTGGTCTTTGTCTTTGCAACAATGAAAAGTAGCAATATTCCTTATGTAATCTCTATGATAAATTCGTTTAGTCATTTAATTCAGTAAAATTAGTACTGTTCTCACCAGTACTTTGTCTATATTCCCTATATTTCCCCGTATTTCTTTGGCAGCTTTTCCCATCAAACCCACTTATTAATTGGGTATGGTAATACTGACACCCACCCAGAAAACTGCATCATCCTGTCTTACCCTGGGAGAATTCAATTTGGCACAGAAACAAAAACATGAAATACTTATTTCAAGCTAGAGTCACTAATGTAGTAGCAAGTTTATCAATCAGTTCTAACTTTAAAATTATATAGTCTAGGCCTGCCTTGCACCACTGCATGGGTAAAAATAATCAAGCTCACTGCTTTCAGAAGCAAGTGACTCTCTCTAAATTACAGTATTTTTATTTGTAAGCATCAACTTTGCTATAGACACTAAGTTCGTGAAGTCTTTAAACAAAACTACGTGTTTTCTGGCCTAGCAGAAATTCTCCTGTGCTTTCAAAAAGATGTTTTTCTAGTCTACCTTGTTATCTCCTTCCCATTCCTTCCTATTTCAGTGATGTTTTGCTTTGAAAACTCCCTTTAAATACAATTATTTATATTAATCTTTCCAACAACCTATTAAAGATATTTTTATTATGATGCACTTGAAATACTAAAAAAAAAAAAAAAAGCAGCTCCCTCTCCAGAACATCACCTCATCTAGCACCCACTCCACTACTTTTACCACACATGAAAGTAACGTGAAGAGAAAACTTATTAAAAGATAAGCCAATTATTCCATCTCATACAATTATGTTAATCAAATGCATACATCTGTCTGAAAGAGCAGGAGCTAAACTAACAACATTCTGTATCATTATATGAAGATTAGGCTTGGTGTATGTAAGAATTTCAAATAATTATTGTTTAAAAAAATGAAATAAAGAGCATTACTGTCATATAACATGATGTATACAAAGATGTGTGTGTACTTACCTGACCAGAACTGGATCCAAAATGCTAATTTGCATCTTTTTTTTTTTTTTTTTTTTTTTTTTTTTACTAAAACAACAAAAAGGATTGTATTTTCAAAAGCATATTATCACTTGTAAATAGGTAGGTTTAACAGTAAACTTCCACCTGCTTTAAAAGCAATAGCTAGGGAACTGTCTTGCCATCACTATCTCTTTACTTTTACCTTTTTGTCTCCTGTGAACAGGCTGACAGATTGCTCTGTTCTGTGTGATGGATGAAAGCTTAGGATGGAAATCTGAGCCAGTAATCATTCAGGAATGACTGACATTTCTCAGAGTGTCCCTCTAGAAGACTTTATCTCCAGAAAACTTTGTAGGACAATGGCCTCACACAGTAAATCCTAAAAAGAGAAAAAAGAACACGGTCAGAAATAACTTGCGACATCACTTTCACACAGGTACACTGAGAGCTGGTTGTCATTTAATGTATTCAATATGCATGGTTATTCTCAGAGGGTTCCTCTGGGATTAAAATCACGGGTATTGAGCTTTTCCCTTCTAGCTGCAGCGTGCCCCTATAAGCATACTTAATGCTTGCTTATAAACAGGATGTAGAAAAAAAATTGAAATCCCTTTGCATTTCCTGTCTTAAGTGGAAGTTTTTTTTAGCAATACATTGCAAAAACACTATGGAAACACAGACTCTCTACCATTTGGAATCCAGACTACCTTCGCTCCTGTGTGAACTGAGCATCAGTGACAGACTGAAGCAAGCCTCACGTGCACAGACGCTGTAAGGACAGAGAGAAGCTCACTAACTGCTGCACAGACTAACCACAGAGCCATGAGTACACAAAGGTACGCTCTGAGGTCACACAACCTGCCAGCAAGAGGAAGCACAGATTTGGAAACCACGTTCACAGGATACTGCACAGGGTCAATAAGCATTGAAGAAACACTTGCAGACCCAGCCATATGCTTTTGTGGACACAGCCCAGTGAATTTGCCTTTTGCTGTTATGTGTTAAATTCCTAGCTCAGTTTTTCAATAGTTAGGAGGTGTCTGCTTTATTAAGCTAACAACAAATTTTTGGAAGATTCGCTTGAGACAAAGGCAGTGTTTTCATACATATAGTGTCACAGTTTGGCTCAAGTGGTAGAAGAGTCAGTATTAACATCCTCAGATTTTTCTTCCTGAGGACTTCTTTTCAGTCTGTTATAGACTGAACAAAGATACCTCTTGCATCTCCTTGACAGCTTGTGATGGTGAATGTAACATGAAATATGAATCAACAGAGGCGTGCTCAGACACCTTCCTCACTAGTAAAATGGAAAGTGCCTTTGAACTGATGACAACAACTGGAGTAACAGATCATGACACATCTTCAGGATGGCAGTTCTCTAAGCAAGGCTCTGCATGACACATGGAAAAGTTAATAGGCTCATTTTTTTTCAAAAAGAGTCACAGTAAACCTTGAATGAAAACAAAGTTATTCACCTTTTTGAACAAACATTATTTGTTACATCTTTGGATGTATTTTTTTTTTTTTTTTTTTAATTTGTAATCACACTGGAAATACCACTCACAAATTTCGTCTAACTGTAGCAAATGAGTAGGCAAACTTTATCCTTTATCGTACACATCTGATACATCATTTTATGTAATAAATTAGCTTTAAAACACCTGTTATCTGAAATAAGCGATGACAGGTATTTGTTGATTTCAAGGAATATGGAATAATTTAACTCCTATCTAAATACAGCTCATATAAAAAGCGTCCTTTTATCATTGAATAAATTAGGATTTTTTTTTCCTTCCTAGCTTGTACAAATTCTGCAGGCTGAGTGATGATTACAACAAACATTACCGATTCCTGAAGAGAAATACTACTGAACTGTGATAAACATTTCTGTTCTTTGGCAACAGGCCTCTCTACTGCCAGCGCTTTTCCTTTGCAGAGCACTGCTTCCTTAGTTCTGCTGTTATGAGCTTTTGGTGAATTTCTTCAGTTCATTAGCAATTAATGAAAGGCAAAGAGGAAAGATTACCTTGCTACATTGCCACACAGGAGCAACCACCCAGGCAGACAAACACACCTCCCATACAGTAATTACACAGCAGCTTTGCTTCCCAGTTTTAAATATTTCCTTGCCATTTATCATTCTGATTTAGGCCCTTATGCATGCCAAGTGATTCACTTAAAACCATGGCAAATGCTTCGAGGTTTTACACCATTTTAGAAGAGAAAGATGCTCCAGCTGCACGTGAGCAGAGTTTATGGAGCAGACTGTATGATAACTGACCAGGAGGTTCAGATGCTGACAGGTACTGACTGCACCGACTGCTTGAAAAGGAAGTGCTTTTCCCATCGTATTACTTCTTGCATATCTGTAATCTCTTTTCTGGCTAAATTCACTTCCTCTCCTGTACTGTTGATACTACCAGGCTCTTATGGCCTGAAATCTGTCACATTCATCAAGTCACAAACTTCACTTGGACTCCTGCCCCAAGGGACCTGACTCAGGAACCCGCAATAGCTTTGCTGTTACTGTCTTGACTTCATTCTTCCTTCTCAATGGGAATGTCTGATAAGAAAAACTCCCTTCAAAATGTCCATGTAATTGGATAGGAAATGCTTTTCCGCTCTAACAAATGTTAGAATCTAAAACAGTATTTCCCTTTCTCAGTTGGGGAATTCACTGCTACTTACAGTGGCTCAGGAACACATAAACACAATGAATATCACTTATCAAGAATGATTACATGAACTGAAAACCAAATTACTGCAATTTAAAGCCTAAATACAATTCAAAGTAGTAAATAATCCCATTAGGATTATTATCCCATCTAAAATGACATTCTCTGAAGCATACTAAGACTATTTAAAAATGTATACACTGCAAACCATCAAATCCCTAGGCAACAAAACATCTCTTTGGAGGTCCTTCCTTTCGCTAGCATCTAGTAAGACTAGCCAGTTCAAATGCTGCTCCTCTGTCTTTGTATTTACACAGCCCACCTCAGCTGGGGACATGGCAACCCACTCAGGGAGAACAGGGCGGCCTCTTCCTTCAGTTACCAGGAGCTGGTAGAAAACTTGTCAGGAGTGAATCTTTTGTCTGCAGCTAATGCACAGCACTGGGTGTTCTGACACGAAGGGATAGACGTGCGTGAGATTAATAACTCATCCACAGCAGGGCTTCCTGCAGAAAACGAGTTTTGCAAGCTATTATGTATCCCCAGCCTGCAGATACTGCTTGTTGAAGTGCTAATTTTTGCAGTTTAAGTCTCTGTAGCACTCTGGATGCAATAGCAGACATGCAAAGGAGTATCTAAACTTACATTTTACTCCAAGGAACACCATAACAAGAACCTAGTGGGCAAGTTATAGATGATCTGACTTTGGGTGGTAGCCAATCGTAGGCTTGTACTTGTCTGATAGGCTAAAAACAGCATTGAAAATCTAAACTTTTTTCAAATTATTTGTAACAAAATGGCTTTCCGAAACCTCATGGGAAACTTTAAGAATATGTTCATAGGATTTCAAGAAAGATGAGTGTTCTAATTTGTTTTTGCTTCAGGCTTAGGCTGGGCTTGGTGTGGTCTATTGATAGATGCTTCCAACTGGGGTTTCAAGTTTGCATTTTGCTTGCTTAGGACTTTTTGTAATGGCTGTTGTTTTGATGACTGTGGTACACTGCCCAGCACCACACATTTCTCTGATCTAAAAATGCATAAACTTACAGCAGCAACATAGTCATACAGCTCATTCCTCAAAAGGCAGTTTGCAAAGCACACCTCAGTAATCTGCAACTGAAAAAACAGCTCTAGCTCTTTCCTTTTTCTCGCTGATTAGCAAAAGAAGATGAAAATGTAAAACATCTAACAAGTTTCCAAGCAAGCAGCTCAAGTATTTAAAGCTAAAACCTGTACTGATTTCTGGGACAAGGAGCACAAAGTGAAAGCAGCAAACACACCATGCTGTGTGTGCATCCCTCTGTACCACACTTCCACCATCTCATTACAGAGGTTGAGCATTTCCATGTGAGTCCTACCGACTTTGCAACCCTTCAACAAGTAGTTTTGCTACAGAGCTGAAAGTTACCTTGTCTCAGGATGGAAGGACTGGTGAGAAGATGCCTGACTTTACTAGCTCATTTCATGGGTCCTTTACCATGCTTGCCTCTTCATCTACTGGAGCATAGACCCCAAATGAAGCTCAGAACTATTTTCTGGCTTAGCTAGAGTTGTCTCAACTGTATTTGGCTTGCCCTGTCCTGAATTCCCCCCACCCTACACCATTATTCTTCACTGGACTTTTGCCAGGGAATTTAGCTCATGGGGACTAACAACATCCAACTGTGCACAAGCCACGGGGCCCGGTACCACGCAGCTCCAGTCCCACGGCAAGTGTAGAGTCAGGAAGGATGAAGTCTCAGAGCTGCTAAAGCTGTACCAACCGGGATCTCCATTCAGGAGGTTTTCTCGTCTCTCTGCAAGAGAGAGAGAAAGAAAACATTGCCATTGAATTCCCTGTGGGATCTGCTATGAATGGGAATTAACAAGGCTTTCTACACTGTAAGAAATATTTCCCGTTCTTGGAAAGCGTGAAGGTTAGACATAGTGGCTGCCTGTTTTGAGGCCGCTTGCCTGACTGCTATTTAGAAGAATGCGTTCTGTAGCCTGGACAAGATAAATGTTCTATGCATGCAGGATAACCATGTTACCTATATAGCAAAATAAGAATGTAGGCCTGAAGGCAGTTTTAATCTTGCAAAAATTATTTTTTACTGCTTGCTACAGCACAGCCATCAGCAGTGGATTCTTTCTTAGTATATAACACAGTCTCTGTGCTTGAAGATCCTTCTATTAATTTTCTGGTTTTAGAGGACAGTAATGTTTTATTTTATCTCCTACAATACATATTTCTAGTCATCTGAAGAACACAAGTTTAACTTTGTTATTACTCAGACCCTCCTGTGCACTTTAATTCACTCTGCGTGCTCCTTCACTGGTAGCAGTTACACAAGTCTGTTGCTTCATTTTACCTCTCAATAGGTGCAAGTACAGATTGAATACTGCTACCAATCCCATGCACAAAGTTGTTAAATGACTTGCTGTTACAACCTCAGTGAATGTTGCCAGTGTTTTTCAAAGCAAATGCTTTTGCCCAGGGTCTATGAAGAGACAACCAGGCAAGCTGACGCTTCAGAATCTGGTCTAGCTTTGGTTCCTTTTCTCTACCTACAATCAGACAGATCCATTTCATATTCCAGTGACTTCACATTGCTATCATAAGATTCTCTGTGCTTGCTCTTCCTGCTCCCTTTAGGTTTAAGCACAGTAGACATTTTTTCTTCATTTCCCTTTAAGAAGCTTCTGATAGCTGCAACAAACACCTGGAAGACATCCAACGTTACAGAAAAGAGGAAAAATACCTACCTACCCTTTTGGTAAATCACCTGTAAAGACAAATATGCTTGTCTGTTTGAGAGCTTTGCTATGCTAACAGTAAAACTCCAAGTTTTATGCTCAACTCTTGAGCTTTGAAATTCCTCCTACCAAGTGTATTTCATCCCTTCCCACATCCTATAGGTCAGAAGTACTCTTTCTATGTGCACAGGCAACAGACTTGGATCAAATGCTCAGCTTCTTCACCTCTGCTCTGCAAGCAGTTCTGCCCAAGAAAGCATCTGGCACAACAGACATTTCCAACAGCACTTGCCCTAAAGCATGTTCGCTGGCACTTTAACTGAGAAACCTTTGGGGAGCAAGGAAGAGGCTTGTTAAAAACTTACTGACAATTTAACAGAACTTGTAAATGATCTTATAGAGAGCAGAACATCAGACTTTTGTAGAGTGACTCAAGAAGGGGCATTGTACTGAGTAGTAAAGAACATTCATGTTTACTGGAATGCAGTTTTCACAGCAGTTTCTACGCTTCCTCTGGGATTTCCAGCTTCAATAGCTGTCTACATTTTGGACTTCTAAGCTCCGCAGTGTAAAACTCATTTTGTCAGCACTGAAGGTCTGACAACACTGCTGTTATCTCCTAAGACTGACAGATGTTTGTACTTTACCACCTTTTGAAGCTTATGCTACCAACTTCGATTCTTGATTAATGAAGGTGCCTTGGGAAAAAACCTACAGAGTAGGAACATGGTGTCGTGTCACACCCTTTTTATTTCCGAATACTGCATCTGTAAAACTTCACACTCCACAGTGCATGTCAAAGTAACACACGGAAGACTGAGCGAGTATTTGAACTGTCATCTCCTGTACGTGGTGTCACATCAGTCTCATGTCAGATCCCAGAACACTTGCCTCCGTACTGACCCGTAAGTCTATAGCTGCAGGGGAAGGAGGAAAAGCAAATCACATGAAAATCTGCAGGACTGGACATTCCAACAGCACATCACAGTGTGCTCATCACTTACTCTAAGAGCTCAGCAAGTCTAGAAATTGCCAACCACTTTCTTCCTAAGCAGACAAACCATTTCAGGCCAGGTCCAACAAACACCAGTTATTACAGATCAAGAAGTGGTATGGTAGGGAAAAGGGTCAGACACTCTTCTGCTTCGATTCTGCTTGGCTTAACTGGGAGAGGAAGATTTGAGTCTGAATGACCCCCACTGATGGGCTTGGACTCCAGCACAGAGTCCCTCAGGCCTCACAGGGCTTTGTGAATGTACCACCAAGCTGCAGACAGGAATGAGGCGTTCTCACCTAGGGGAGCTGGGAAGCCTTTGCCAGGTTCTTGGCCCTAAAGGGGTGGTACTGGGCTCCTTTTCACTTCAAATCACCCATTTCTACAAATGCAATAATTTTACTAAAAGCTCAAGAATGTTCTAAAGAAATATTTTCTTTTGGCTTTGAGGTCACGTTGGTTTGTATCAGAAATGGCTTGAAGGTTCTGCCTGAAGCTAAGGGGTTCCCTTCCTCCAAAAGGGAGTTACATAATCCAAGATCTTGCCTGTTCCCATGCTATCTTCCTCACCCTCTTCCTCTTGCTTTTGCAAAACATGTGTTCTCCAGCTTATCTCAAGGAGAAAAATCACATATTTCTCTTAGTTGTACAAGCCAGCAAGTCAGTTCTCTGCATCTTCCCTGACCACCATGTAAGAAGAAAGATCTCTGGCATCCTGTTAGGAACACCCAGAATTATGATGTTCCCAATGCTTCATGCAGTAATATATATAGCAGGGTTTCGTTTGTTACTTTTCTGGCGTACAGTCATTCTGTGTTGGCTGGCTCTGCAGTACTTAGCAATTGTTCCTTGCTTATGTGGAAATATTTCTTGGATTAGAATTCAGTCTCTGTGCAGCTTATTTGTTAAACTATGCAGTAATAGAAACGTTATTTCGCCCTTAATCATTGTTAACAGAAACACAACCATGACCGAACTATCTTGGATATACATGCGATATTCAATATCATGTATAACAAAACGCACTGCATTAAAAATTTCTATTGAGTGTCAATGGTTTTAGTTACAACCTATAAAATTACACATAATGAATCCCATAACATTTCACTTACTAGCATTTCTGACTATAGCAAATACTGAATTGGGAACTGCAGAAGGAGTACCACAACAATTCTCATAATAAAAGGGTTCATTGTAGTCATTCTACATAATCCTACATAACTCGCAGTTTCCAAGTTTGCGATCCTTTGATGCTTATTTGGCTACAAAAAGAAAGCCACGTCTCCAAATAATGAAGGAAAAGAAGGTTGTCCTGGACCATTTACTGTCTGAGAATATTTGCTTCTCTCATTGCTCACAGCTAGGTTTATAAAGGACCAAATCATTTATTTATTTATTTATTTGCAAGACAAGCCTAACGTACAGGCTTAGTTCTGATTTGTAGCACAACTAGTCACCATAAAGAAGGTATTATCTTTGTGAAGCAAGTACATGCAGTAATTAAAAGGCAGATCACAAACTATTTAATAAAACAGAAAGAGGAAGTGGACAGCTGTTTCAACATAGAAACAATTTCTGTTAGGTGAACACTCTTAATTTCAGCCAGAAAGCTTGAATTCACCTGGAAGCTGAGATCTGTTGACTGAAGCCTTCCATTTCTTCTTGCGCTTTTCTGTTTGATCTGGAAATCAGCAGCCACCCCAACTGCCATTAATGACTGCACCTGTTTTCCTCCATGACACCATGCCTACCCATCAAACTGGAGGACTAAGACCCAATAGAGTAAAATAGATTAAAAGAAATTTGCAGCTTAGTTCTCTGTTACAATTTCTCTCCAGTGAAATGAAATTTTGCTCCTACTAAGACCTGAAGTGAGTGTCACAGTACAGAGAAATTGAGAGGAAATCCACAAAACAATATTGGAACAGTCTTCACTGTATTTTTTTATTTTCAAAGCAAATTTAGGGCAACACAGCAGAATGCATAGGCAGTTAAGCTCAGCATATCAAACACCACTGAAAGGGCACTTGGATCCCCCACAAAAGAACAGAAGAGACAGTGGCAAAGAAAGAATGTACAATGAATCCTGCTTATGATAGATTTGCAACCATGCAGCTGACTTGAAAACAAGACTGACACATGGACAAAGATAAGACACCTGATTCAAAGGAATTCAGACCTATTTTGGGCCTCGTTTAAGTGAAAGCTGGTTATATTTCCCAATCAGACCCCAGTATTAGGGGTATGTTATACCTGAATTGATAGCCTTGGGAAATATGTAAGCAAACTGTCAGCAGACTTGGGGTTAAACCAAGACTAAGAGAATCTGTCCCTTCTGACCTAGGGAAGGGAACAGAACTTCTGCTAAGCTAAGGGTAATGTGAACTTGGTTAAGAAAACTCACTTGGGAGCCTGTTGAGAACATGAGTTTCTTTTGGTAAAAAGACATTTTTACCTAGAATGTGATTATTTTGGAATCACGGATGAAAAGTATGCTCTCCAAGGACAAAAGCATTGGACTTAAGGGCTCATGAGAAGCCAGAGATCCAGCCTGAGCCTAGCACCAGGGGCTGTATGAAGAGAACAGAAGTGTTTCCAACGGAGTGTATGTGACCATCTGAAGTGCAGTTTTATATACAGGGAACAGCGAGCACTTTGATCTGGGGGAAGATTCACAGAATGGTTTGGGTTGGAAGGGACCTTAAAGCCCACCCAGTTCCACCCCCTGCCATGGGCAGGGACACCTCCCACCAGCCCAGGTTGCCCAAAGCCCCATCCAGCCTGGCCTTGAGCACCTCCAGGGATGGGGCAGCCACAGCTTCTCTGGGCAGCCTTGCCAGGGCCTCACCACCCTGAGTGAAGAATTTCCTCCTAGCCTCTAACCTGCAAGATTATATAGAAGAGAAGCACCCTTCTGCAGAACAATAACTAACCTAGTAGTGCACTCTATTTTGGATCTGGGCTATGCCTTTTTATATCTCTTAGGTATTGTACTTACACATCCCATTTTCTGGACAAACACAGAAACAGTTAAAAAAAGGTAAGAATGGACATCAGCACCATCAATTCCACTTTGGTTTAAGAGAAGGTCTTCCTGCACATGTTCTGTGGGGACTTGATCCTACCTCAAAGTGTTGAGCATACACTAAACACATCTACCAGACTAGAACAGGTAAGGAATTTTAAACCAGTGCGTGTTAACTCTGGGTGTCCTCGTTACATTTACAACTCAACTAATTACAGTCTTGCTGCTTCCCCTTTGAGCTACCTACACTGGAGATTCAAATTTGTACTCTGCTGACCTCATGGAAATTGTTATTTTAGGTCTAAAGCAACAGAAGATTTCTGTTTTAGAACGCACTCTTGAGGTACCTTGTAGATGCCTATTTAGATTACAGGAGCAAACAACGTACCCATACCCAGACATCAATGTAACTGCATGAGGCTTTACCAAGCCCTTAGAAGACAGGCCAGCCTGTATAATTAGAACATGAAGGATCTGCAGCACACTAGACTCACAGAAATGGAGTCTGTCTATGTTAGCTAAAGTGGTGCCTAATCTTGAGTGATCTGGGGTCAAGCCCAGATCTAAGAGACTCTTTCTGTGGCTGCAAGCAAGCCTTACCTCACACCGAAATCTTTCTAAAGAAGGTGATGGGCTGCAATGCTGTAAAGAAACTCTAGAGTCTGTACAAAGCAGCAGCACTGTGACTTCAGTATTGCGTAGCCTCAGCTGCTGTGGTGGTGTGCGCTGCCATGCAGAGGTGGTTAAGAACAGTTTGGCATAGCTGTGTGTTGTATCAGTTTCCTGCTGGATACAGATCCTTGAGGTCCTACACTAGAATGCCAACCAAAACCAACAGGAGAATGGAAACATGAAAAATAAGCTCTTGACCTCTGCTTTGCAGTTACTAAGCTATAAAGAAAAAGGAATAGTCCTCTGCTTCTAACGGTGATAATTGCTACTGAAAACCCTGTGCATTAACAGTACATAAAGTACTACCTGGAAAATCTGCTGTGTGTTTTCATTGCTCACTTGATAGCTCTCAAAATATTCTGATTTGGCACAGGGTAGAGAAATCACAATCAGACAAATGGTTTCTAAAAAAAAAAAAAAAAGCAGCTTGATTTATGACAGATTCTGTTTAATTCTGTTTATAGAGAATCCTGCTGCTGGGAGAAACTGCTCTTGGCACTGACATGTTAATATAACACTACCAAGGGTGAAAATGAACCATCAAGATCACAGCTATGAGAACGTGTAAGTAGTATTGGCTGCTAGGTTTTTATGTAGATGTGCATATTATTATACCACAACTACTCAGTGGAGCAAAATATTTGTAGGAACAGTTAACATTCCAGCTGAGAAATTTATCTCAACCTCTTTACATAAATAATACAAGTGTCTTGCTTCTTGCAACTATTTCTTCCTGTTAATTACTGGGACAAAGCATGTTGAATGTAGCATATTTTAAAACCTGGAGAATGCAACAGACCATAACACTTGTATTGCTTACTAAGAAGAAACAGTCTGCTTTTTAAAGTGTTTTAAGGTATAAGGTGATTATGGATTTCACAGTTTATGTGGGTATTGGACTGCAACTACTCTGGTACACACAAAGGACAGGCACAGTGGAACAAGTTTATCCATCTCTCTAGCCTAGGCTTATTATTTAGTAAGACTATAAAAGGAGAAATGAAGGAAGTGCTTAGCCCTACAGTAGTCAGCACAAAAGTTTTTTTTTTTTTTTTTCTCTGCATCTTTTTCAGTGGTTTCTAAAATCCCCCAGTACTGTCTACGTTACTTTGTCCTTTGCTGACAGGCTTATATTACATTGTTGCAGCCCCAGTCACTGAAAGAGAGTTGTAAGAAATTGGATCACATCTCAGGATCATACAATACTGCAAACATTTGCAGGACAACAGGGTGTCTCATGTTAAATTAAATACAATTATAAGCAAATACTGTCACTATTTTTCTTGGATTTCATGCTTTTATCCTGCTTTCTGTTCTCAGACCATGAGCTACAGAAGATAACTTTTTTTTTTCCCCCTCTCATTACAAAGCATTAGATGCTTCAGTTTTTGCATTCCCAGGTACAAATCTTGACGCTGCAAAAGCGATGCTAGACTTTCATCAGCTGGAAACACATCTTACTGTTTGTTGGTAGAGATACGCAGTTGTAAGCACTACAATTTCAAGTGACTTCACATGACTCTATTGTATGATGATAGAAAAAGATATCGAGTATGATCATGATACACGTTACAGTTCGGTCTTGGAAGGAAATGGATGAGAAAGGAGAACACTCGGCTGTGTAAGTTCCCTTATACTATGTCTACTATTACCACTAATAGTTTTTTGTTTTTTTTTTTTTAGTAGACACTTTCTCAGCTACTTCTCAGACATTTGATGTTTATCAAAGCAACCTACGTCAGCTGGAACAAAAATCATCTGCTCCTTCTTACTTGCGATCCGTGTTATTACAATCCTTCTTGTTCCTTCTAGAGTGCAGAAATGCTCATCAAAATAATCTGCAAATGGAAGCATGCTCATTTATGGCACATGAGCTATATTACAAATATGTTGAACCAGATGAGAACTATAAGATAGGTGGGACATGCTACGTTTCACAAAAATCTTGTGGTACTTGCCATCAAACACAATATCCACACCATTCCTGAAGGAAAGAAAGGTATTTCTTATATTTGAGGTCTAAGCATGTGAGGCACATGCCTGTATGTTTACTGTCACACTAACGTCACATCCAGCCTTTCCAAAACCCAGTTTGTGGAAATTCTTCTGGGCTAACTAGGACTGACAGTAATTGTAGCAGTCAACACTGCCCCCCAGTGCGGGTTGTTTCAACTCCATTCTGCAATGGCTTCCTTTTTCGGGGTTAATAAATGTATTTGGAATGTGCTGTTGAGTATATCATTAGACAAATTAATTTAACTTTCTTTTAAGAAATTAATTTTAAAAGCCAGCGTTTATCAACCTCTACTCCCTTACACAAAGAACTACTACACAAACATAAAAAAGGAAATGTGTAAATATAGAAATATTGGTGTTAGCACTTATATTTGCTGTATGTTATATATATATATCTATATATCTATATTAAAAAAAAAAAATACAAGTTCCACAGGTCTAGTGGATCAGACACACAGATGATACCTAATGCAGCATGGATTCATCTTCTGTAAAAGTTTCTGTATGTTTTATCTATAAGCAAATCTGATGGTACTTACAGAACAGACGCCTACCAAAGAGCCAGCAGACATATGTGTTTAAGGACATGCCCATCTCCTCAGTGAATGCCATTAACCTGTTTACACGGAGGACATTCAGTTGCATATAAAGACTTAATCAAAAATTCACTGACATCAACAGGAGACTCTTCAGTGGACTTTGGGAGAGATGAAGGACTTGACACTCTCATATACTGAGCACTCCAACTATGATCTTATAGCAAACCATGCTTGACACACAAAGTGTCAAACTGTTCAGAAGCAGTTCTGCTGAAATCAGAAGTCTTCAGAACACAGTTATGAACCTGCAACCAACCACCCCATCCACAGCCTCTAAATCATCCTGTTCCACTAGCATCCCTGCACTGTCAGGCTATGGACCACTAGAGGAAAACAAACAAACAAACAAAAAACAAAAAACAAACACAAACTAGTTAGCATTATCCCAACAGGGCATGTAAAAAAACCCTGAGTTTATCAATAGCCAGAAACATTTAGCAAGAACCTTGGCAGAACTTTAAGTGATAGTAAAGAGAATCAAAGCCAATGTCCCAGCAGATTTGATAGCCCACATAGCATGAAGAAGAATAAAAAGTGATTGAAGAGATGGAGAAGACATTTGGATTTTCACATATTCATCACAAGAGGACTCTCTTACAATGGAAAAAAGAAAGTTACGTATTTTGTAAGCAGAAGTTGAAACATTCAGGAGAGATGAACGGCTACTTGGATTTCCCGACTACTAACACTGTTGTGGTCATTTTTTCCTGTAAAAATTTGAAACTTGCAGTTGTCACAATTTAAAAGTACACCACCAGAATGCACAGCAAAATATCCTGATGTAGCAGTAGTCACTCATACAAGTAGTAGCAGCCTCTTAAACAAGACAGGCAAAGTGCATTGCCAATATCTATCACCTTTTGCACACATTAGCAATGCTACTTAAAAACTTGTCAGCTAGGCTTAAGACAGAAAAGGGATAAAAGTTAGTTAACTACCTTGCAAAATGCAGGAGCCTTAGGAATACTTGCTTTTATTATTGAACCTTTTTTCTATTACTCATTTAGAATACACTATTGAATTTTAATCCTGAATTGCATGAAAAAATTGCATTCGTGCAACACTAAGTTAGCATGCTCAAGTACTTCCATTCAACAAGTTCCAGAAAGGTTAATTTAGCCACATAATTTCCATATTTTGTATTAACATATTGAACAATTACTGGAGCATGTATTTAGTAAGGAAAGGAAGGGGTTCCCAAGTAGTTTCTCTGCTCACAATTGAAGGACAGTTTCTACACACTTGGGATTCTTTATCATTTAAGATTGCCCATATATGTCTGCAAGATTTTAGTATTTCTACAATTGCAGAGTACTGTAGAGAATAATTTCCATAGTCCAAAAATCTATATAGATCTGTGCATGAACACATACCTCAAATATCTTTTCCTCAAATGAAGACACTTCCCACAATCATTAAATGAAACGATAGTATGGAGGAAAAGGTTAGCACCAAAAGCACTGTGGTTCAGATACAAGCTATAGTGTATTAATCCAGTATAAAATTCAATTGGAGCTTGCTAAAAATTCCTCTGATATTAGTAGAGCATCAGTTACAGTACAGATGCTGTAGTATAAGTGTTATAGAAATACAATGCTTCACTGGTCTAGGCGAAGTAAGTAATATGGTTTTGACCTGCATGTATATAGTTGGAAATTCATAATGAAACAGTGTGTGTGGTGAGGGGACAGTGGGACAGAAGGTGCTCCCATTCTCTATGAAAACAGACTGTAGAAAAAAAGGCTGAAAAGCACATTAAAGTTAAGAAGTAGGTAGGCCACGATTTCATCTTCAGTTTTCATGAGGAAAAAAAACAACAAAACTAAATGGTCACAATAGTTTCACAACATTATAAAACAACTGTTTTGTGAAACCATAGCTATGGGTTGCCACCCAGCTGTGAAGTAGCCATGTCACCAAACATCTTCCTTTCCTGGGCAGTGCAATCCCCTCCATGTCGGTACACACTGTTATCCCGTCCCCTGCTTTGGTTTGCATCGCATCTGATCTTTGAGTAAATAAATGCTGATGGAATTGTTGCTCAGCTTGGCTTCTCCTCACCCCCCTGCTGGCACCAGCAGTTGTTCCCAGTCTTTCTATTGCCAGCAACACGGGAGGTTTCATGCCAGGCAATGGCAACTGCTAGTGTCAAGGGTCAGCTCCACGGCCTCTTCTTTGTCAGCAGCTCTCACAGCTGGCTGGCATCAATTTATTCTATTCTTTCAGGAGTTTACAGTCAGCTTGAGACTTCCCTCTTCACCAAGTTTTCTTCCCCCTGCAATCCTAGTAACCTTTACTTGAAATAATTCGTATTGCCAAATTCTGAGGTAGTTTAGCTGCCCCTTTAGGCATCAAATCAGTTTCTGTGACCTTTCAACAACCTTGCGTATGTATATGCAGTTGTCAGCTGCCATCAAGTGGCAGAACACGTTTCAGAGTTTTCTGTTCTGCACTGACACAGCCCCAGTTATCGACCCCCGGGGTACAGCACTAATGACTGGCCTCCAGCTGGACTTCACGCTGCTGATCACAACGCTTTGAGCCGGCAGTTCAGACGCTTTTCAAACCACCTCCCAGTCCATTTATTTAGCCTGTTCTTCATCAGCTTGTCTACAAGGATGCTATGGGAGACAGTCTCAGCAGCCTTGCTGAAGCTGAGGTAAACACCCGCTGCTCTCATCTCCTCCTCCAAGTCAGTGATTGCATTGGAGAAAGCTATCAGGTTGGTGAAAGATGACTTCCCCTTCAGTGCATGCTGACTACTCCCAATCACCACCTTGTCCCGCTCACGTTTGGACACTGCTTGCAGGATTAGTTGCTCCATCAGGTCCCCACGGTGAGGGTGACCAATCTGTAGTTTCCCAGATCCTCCTTGCTCTTCTTGATGATAGGAGTGACATTGCTTTCTTCCTCAGAAGTCTCCAAGAACCACCAGGACTGCTCAAAGATTATTGAGAACTGATTCCCAGTCTCTCCTCACACTACATCAGCAATATCTCTGTTCTAGATTTATTAGTTGTAGGCTTCTCATTCCTCATTTTAAGGAAATTACAACAGCAGTGTAGAAAGCAATCTACATTTTTAAATTTTCAGGGATTAAACCTTTTCACTGCAGCACCAATTGAATAAACACTAATTTACAGATTATTGGTCCCTAGACACTAACGACAAGTCACTCAATAACATAAGGCAATCAAACTTATATCATTCCATCTGCTGGAGGCAAAAGCTGCATGTTTACTTGAACACTGGCCATGAAACAGAAACATTTTGCCATTGTTTTGCATGCTCACTAAGAAAAGGACCTGAAGGAAAAAGTGCTGGGTTTGTATTTGATCATTCTCCAGAGGCATTTCTTGACTTGAATTCAGACCAATTCTCTAATCACTATCTTCTAACGCAATCTCATCGCCCCAAGTCATTCCACTGGATAGCTAGAAACCTCCAGAAAAGGAGAAATTCACAAACACTCATGAGTGATGGAAAAGTTACCTCCCATTGGATAATGTTGTAATGGTTTTAGTGAAACTAGTGTCATGGTATTGGATAGTTCTTACACAGAATAGTTCCCTCAGTAAAAAGTAAAATGTGAATTCATAAGTACTTCGACCCTCCATTTTCCCCCCATGAAATTCTAAATCTTCAAGGTGACAAATAATTTTTACCTTCAGATATTCTAAGTAAAGAAAATAATAAAAATTAAAAAAATTCTAAGTCCTATTATGGTTTTCCATGGCTCAGGCTACATACAAAAAAGGTGGGAGAATTTCATTCCCTGGAATGAGCCCAGGGGGAGTGAGTTCATAGCAAAAGTAGGAGAAACATTGTACTACAGACCCAGTCAGAGCCCTCAAGTAGACTGTTCTCCCCTTTGAAATATTTTTCTTTCCTCCCACTTTAGTCTATCTTTGCATAATCTCTTTTATTTTTTTCAAGTGAAGCAGCAAGAAATTCTCCCTCTTTTTTTTTTTTTTCTTAACTTGAGAAGAACTGTTGATACTCAGTTTCTGATGGGAAAAAAAAACACAGACTGAGGCACAGTCCTGGCCCACACCTCCCACATTATTCACTCTGATGCAGTAAGAAGCCAATGTGCACTAATTGCTGTGATCTCTCCATTTGGCTTTTAACTTAAATAGCCATCTGCAGGAGAATCTCAGCCGCTTTCAGCAGACAGAAGCACTTGAAAACAGCAGCCCCCTAACATTGTTTAATTTTTACAACTCTGAGGTCACGAAAGAGACCACTAACTGTTTCAATGAAACTCCATAGGATGGGCTTGGCTGGATGATTTGTTTCTGCTTTAGGATTTAATTTGAACAATATGGACTTTTCCCCATTAGCATAAAATAAATCAGCACGTTGCACTAGTTTCCCACGCATCACTTTCAACAGGCTGCCAACATTAGGATCATGTGGACAGATGACAAGCACTCGAACTACTTACATGTATTAGAGTCCACTGGTCACACCAGCTCTTGGTTTTGATCATCTTTCTTTAAGTTGTATAACATTGTTACTTACTTTCCACAGTCACCAGTTTTAACATACACACATGCCCTGTAATTCAGCCACAAAGCATTTTTAGACAGTCATAAATTCTAATCAGGTAGCGTGGATTTGAACAATGTAAGATTTTCCCTTAGTGAGGCAGATATTTCAAACACACCACAGCCATACTTCCAGGATTTCAAGGAGATTAAGTATCAGAATTTGTATTTTCCTTCACCAGTTCTCCATATTCATGTCAGCACATAAAATGCTACTTAATACACAAATGATTTTGTTCCATAAGTCTGAGATAAGTTTGAGATTTATTGAAGTAAAGACCAGTAATTTCAGTTCATCTTCAAAATAATGTGGGATGAAAAAAATAAACCAAGTTAATAATCGTAAAACATTGAGCTCACTGGAAAAACAAAGATGTTTTTCCAAGAAAAGCTTCCAGGGTTCTTCTCCACGCCACCCCAACCCACCTTACTGTACCATGTCATATGAGGCATCACAAGCTGACAGGAAAATGCACTACATTTATGCAAAAAACACCAAGTGAGCATGTTCTTGTACTGGCTGTACCACCCTGTGCCCTTAGCAGTAAGGACACAAACAAGGCTGCACCCAAACTCACCTTGCTTCTCTGTGCTTCCACTGAGGTGGCCTCAGCCCTGCAGCCCGCGTGGCATGACGCAACATGGCTGCTGCCACGCTGGTGGGCTAAGGCTGCCCCCAGACCCGCTCCCAGCAGCCCCGAGGTGTCCCCTACCCTTCCCTACAGCCACACACCACCTTGAGCCTTCTGTCATGGCTGTACAACTCAGCCCTCGCCCTCAGGAGGATGAGCAGCATCAAGTCTGCCTTGCTCTGTAATAGCAGCCCCTGTAATGGCGGCCCACCTGCCTCGCCATGTAATGGCGGCCCTCCTGTCTCACCCTCCAGGGGCTGTTAAGCTCTCTGCCTGACCCCCACCCTCCTTCCCTGCCACCTCAGCCAATTCATAGGGTGTCTTTACTCCTTTTCTACCCCAAAACAAGGAAAGCAGTGACTCACCTCATGCCATGGGACGTGGCAGCAAGCTCTTCAAAAGGCCAAGTGGCTGCTCTGTGGCAGGGTGCCAGGTGGTGCAACCGACACTGATTGCTGAGGGGGCTGGCTCCTCAGGGGAAGCCAGCAGCAGCCTCTTTACCTTTTTTTAAATTGCCACCAGGGATAGCCCATGTAAGATAACATGCTCTTTATCTGTGCTAATAAATATGGTGCCATGTAAATTGTTGTACATCTTCACTACAACAAGTTGTTCAAAAAAGTCTTAAAAATAGTAATACAAAAAGGGTTATTCTGAAGTCTTCTATTGCTCCTATGGCTATTATGTTTGTGATCCTGTATCTGATACTGAGAAGCAGGTGGGCAGTGCCACCAGGTGTGCCTCATTAACCAGTACACATTTTCTGGGGACAGAGCCAGAGGTCACAGGTGCTGCAACTGGTGTGTAACTGGTGTGAAGCCCCAGTGACTGGCCTGTGATGGACAGAGGTGACACCCTTACTGGAGCTGGGTTTTGGGGTGTAGGGCTTGTACAAAAAACTAAAATATGAATAAATAAATGCCATTTTTATTTGTTCTGTGAGTTCGCATACTACTTAAAAATGGTTTCTGGATTTTCTTTTTGTGAAGAGGGTATGTCCTAAACTATTGATAACTAAGGCTTAAACTAGGGGGAGATTTACAAAGAGAAAGGAGAGGGAGAAAAAAAAAGAAAAAAAGATAAAACTAACCAGAAACTGAACTATGGCATGCACAGAGGAAAAGAATGTAATTCCTGGCTGTAGTTACAGCAGACAGTATTGGCAATCTTCTGGGTGTGTCGGTATGGAGATATTTTCTACAAACTGTTTTGCAAACTACAGCAGAGGTCCCAAATATTTACAAAACATTTGGAAAGACAGACTATCACTCAGCTTCCTGCTGCAAGTGAAAATATTTATCCTACCCTTATACCCTTATTAAGGGGCTTTACCTATGCCTAGACATATCTATGATTATCTTTTTCAGATCCAGTTATCTCCAGCCCAAATTACCTGCAAGGCTGCTTGTGTACTGTTTGTATATTGTATCTATAAAATTAGTTACCAGTTTTAGTTATGAAAGGAAGATGGGCTTGCTGAAGAAATATGTATCTAAAAACTACAACAAAACAAACTGCAGATGCTTCTCTAAGAAACACAGCAGATTAAATCAGGATTTTTTTTTTCTAAACACTTCATATTTCAATTGGCAGCTATAAGCCAGATTACTAACCCCTGAAAGAACACTCATACAGATGTATCAAAATTTCATGCAGAAACTATTTTGAAAATGAGGGGATTTTTCTTAAGACTTTACATGGATAGACTAAACATTTCTAGATTTTATAAAATATACAAAAATAGATGTTGTCCAACTGCTAAATCACTGAGGTCAAATAGGAAAAAAATTGCTCCAAAATCACAACTGAATTTTTGTGCATAAAAACACAGTGTGAGCAGCTTTGATTAAACAAAATATTGAACTAAAAATGTAGCTTCAGATTTTGTGTTAACAAGTGATCATTTTTACTGTACCACTGAACAGCATTAATTCAAGCACAGCTGCAACCAGACTCCTTGGATGCAAAGTCCTCCATTTCTGCATTTCCCTAAGATTTCATTGTGCAACAGTTCTAAGCAAGCAATCTTTCAATGAAATCTATCAAAACCATAGCAATAGACATAAAATAAGACACTAAAACTTGTCAACCAAAGAAATTATCTGCAATTATGTATCACTGTCTTATCTTCACTAAATCTTCTAAAGCAGGCATTCTCTAAAGAATACAGAAGCATGTTTCTGCACGTCTTCACATATTTTCATTATCCTGAAGTATGATAGAAGAGTTTCCCAGTGATGTTATAATGGTTGGAAACAGCTGAAGAAAGTTAGATATTTTTATCTGTCAGAAAGAGAAATGATCTGAATTTATAAAAACAAATAAATAAGCAAATAAGAAGTTAAGATGGAACCAAACCAATTCATTTACATTTCACTTCCTGTGCTTTTAAAACTTCTTATTATGTAGTTTACTTATGGCAATTTACACTTTCTTTTTTCTCACCCAAAAGGAAAAAGTTGTTATAAACAAGTAAATGAAGAAACGAAACCTTCTGTAACATTAACAAAATGTCTGTTTCATATAAAAGATGAAATATTTCACTGTCTTCAGAATCGCCTTTTCTCCCTGATGTGGCTGAATCTTTGTGCCAAAATGTATGCTTGATATTGGCATTCCTCATTCTTACCTACTGGGTTATGAAGCAGTATCGGACAGCAGAAACCACCACCTCAGAGAACATACCATTAGGTCATTTTTTGAGTGAAAAATTCTAATACATGAAACCAGTATTGTCTAGTCGTTATTAGTATTTTTCACTTGTATCTTTCCAAGCATCCTTTAAAGCCAGTCAAGGTCCTTAGCAGGAAATGTACTAATTTCTTCTAAATAAGGGAAACATTATCTACAAGGAGTGTTTTGGTGGACAAATCTGACAATGGAGAATAATTATGAATAAACTGCTGTACTCATGGTACCTTCCTAAAGCAAGATGGGAACATTTCCAAACATTTCTAAGTAGCTGATGGGAAGAATAATGAAAATATTCATATTTTTTTTCTTTTAATTTTACTAAAGCAGAAACTGGCATCTGACCATAGATGAATGAAAAAGCCACCCTCTAGCAAAATGCAAGCATATGAAGCTCAGAAATATATGCAAACAGAGCTTGCACACCAAGATCAGGTATTTTGAAACCCAACTGAAAATTTGGATGTCTAGTTGAATAGCTGCATGTCTCATCACCCCATTTTTTACCATGAAATTTATATTCTTTAGGCATGTAGATGAGTTTGCCAATTTCTACTCTAATCTGCTTTCACTAGTGCAGAAGTAGCGGCCTAGTTTAGATATTACTTCACACTTAATTAAGGTGCCAAGCCAGGAAGTGGGTGAAAGATGAGGGAAAGGGACAGAGCATGTAGTTTAGAACCATCTGGACATATTTGCTAACATTTCTTTGGACAAAAACTGGAACCTCTGAAGATCTTCAAAGGCTCCTCCATTGATTATGTAGGAATACTAGGTGTCTTCTGCTACTTGGGATCTAGAATATTTAACTTTGTATAGATAGATGCCTAGTGGAGTGAGAACACCTCTTACAAATAATAAAAATATAATATCCTTGGTCAACACTACTGTCAATCTTAACATTCTCTTGCTTTACTGCATTACATCAAAGGCAGCAATTTGCATGAACACCATGCGTATTGGAACGGCTCAAGATACAGCTTCCAAAAATTTGAAACCATTCTACAGTTTAAGTCTTTTCTCTGGAAGGGATTTCAGTTAGGTTAACAAAGATATGAGTGATGAAGCCAAACATGTCTCCTGCCACATAACAAAATGAGACAAACCTGTCAAGGATTAGCAAGAATTCTCCACTAGAACAGGAAAGAGAGATTATTACTACCCTTTCACATAATGTTGTATTGTTCATCATTAACTTATCCAGCTTGCATTGTGCACAAGAAAGATAAAATACCGTGACTCTGAATACATAAATTTTGAAAAAAAATGCTCTTCATTTTTGAAATCTACCTCTGTGTCCACACAATCAGACTGCTGGGGTGTTGTGTAGAAATCATCACAGAAAGGGTTCATACCATTAGGAAAAGATTAAGACTCAGATTTAGAAACAATCCATCCTTTGGACAAAACTCCTATTTCCTCATTCACCCATTGTCTACAATTCAGAGACTCAAGATTTTCTATTCCATCGTGCAAGGAAAGAAAAGAGTTTTATTGTGTTGATTTCAGTCTGAACCGAAAGTACCAATGCCTTCAAGGAAAAAAAAAAAAAAAAAGAAAGAAAAAGAAAAAAAAGAAAGTAGGTAACCTATATCCAGCTTTTCACAAGCTGGTACCAATCCACTGACTTAAATATAATTGAAGTCTGTGCCCAACAGCTGTGTTTGTAAAGCTGCTGAAGGTACAAATTTATTTTATTTTTTTAAAAAGGAGAATGCTTACATCATCAATATTTGGGCCAAAACACCCTGAGTTCAGGATTGCTTCCAAGTCCGATTTTGTTTTTCCCTTTTTATAAAGACAGTGTTGGCTTCCATTAATCAGGTCAGATATGAGCTCTTATTCTGAAACATGCTGGTTCCTTTCTAATATTTGGGCACTTCAGATCAATATTCATGCCTTTTGTTTGCACTCATCTTTTGTTTTCAAATAGTAAATGCTGAGTTGCTTGATTTCACTCCCCTTCAAAATCTCAACATCTCCCTTCCATTTCCTTCTGTCTTGCTCGTTCAGCCTTCCACGCATCCAGCTCCAACTGTATTCCCTTCCTTCAATGATCTCTGCTTTTCCAACTTCATTGCTGGTTGCTTATTAGCTTGGCTACTTTCAGTCCCCGAATCTCAATCTGTTCTTCTGTCACTGGTCTTATTGTACTCTTTGCTATTTCATACTTATACTTCTAAACCTATTTCTTCCATTTATGTAAACTATTTCTAACCCTGATCTTTTCTGTCCTTGCTTCATTCTTGCCCCCAGGCATCTGACATTGTCACTAAAGCCTTTACATCTGAACCAGAATATTTATCCCAAGTCTTGCTTAATCTCTCCAGTTCATTTATTCTTCACATTCTCCCAGCTCTCACTTTAAATTGAAAACACAGCTTCTTGCCATAGCATTTCAGAACTGCACTTTTTGATTTCTTACATCTTAGCAAAGGGGGGCATCTGTATCGGTATTATTTATATGCAGAAAGTATTTTGGTTATGCACTTTGTGTGACTACATAAAAATTGCATTGTTCTGTGTATCCACACCACCTCTGAGGGTTCCAGGATTCTGTGTGGTGAAAAAGCACAAGGGAATTTTGGAAGATCGTATTTTCCACTGACAGCTCATTCTGAGCTGAAGTGAGCACACACAGTAGTGACATTTTTAGCTGTGAGTCCAATTGAAATTGTTTTTTGTGGTAAAAGCCAAGCTTACCCTAGTATTCAAAGGCCTGTTGTTATATCCACTTTATTCAGTTAATACTTGGCCCAACCGCATCTACCTCTAACCTGACATTCAGCATCAGTCTTGTGGGTTTTTTTGGATTTGGCATAATCTACATAGCTGTAAAATACTTAGTGCTAGCCTCCACTAGTCTGGAGTTGTCATTAAAACATACCTAATACATCTTACAGACAGGAAACTGAAGATTCTGTGAAAAACAGATATGTTCTCATAAAGACAATCCTGCCATCAGACAGTGCCTTATGAGCAGCTAGGACTGAACTGTGGCATCTCAGTCATGCAGTGCACAGTCTTGCACCAGCATGTAATGCACCCCCCAGGGCAGAAAGAGGGATGCTGCCCCATTTCTTAGGTTGGGGTAAAAAAGCAGGAAGAGAAAAATTCTCATGTTTT